AACCAAGCGTAAAATGTTCCAGTCTTTTTGAAATTTTATCAGTAGTATTTGTGGACAATTCGTTTTGTTCTATTCATTCACTTTTTATAAGGAAAATAACGATTTTAATGAACAGGTTGTAAGAAGTATGAATTCCTTCTCAGAGTCAGTAGATCATTTTTTTATTATAACTTCGTTGTTTCGTATAAAATCGTCTACGATGCGAGGTACGACGACTTTTTAATTATTGCGGTTACTTTAACATCCTGAGAAGATCGTCATTTGTTAGCGTGGCGTTGATCAAGTGTCTCAGACATTCATAGAATTAACTTTTGCTACTAATACTGAATATCTTATTTCGATCTGTTATCTATTCACGAAACTGCCACTGCTCTTTCCTCGGTTCCCAGCGCTTTACTTTTGCATTCTTGAATGATCATACGTTAAATGAAAAATTCAACCAATGTCCGCGAGGTAGATATAGTTATCGACGATGGTGATTGATTTAATAGCATTTAATAGACGGCGAAGAGATGTCCGTTCGTTGAAATCACCTCGAATTTCGATACTTATCCCCTATCGATCGCATCGCCAGCGGCGAAAAGTAGAACCATTGCATTCAGTAGAACTTTCCGCGTTTTACGGTATAATGGAACACGAATCAGCAGAGATCTTGTTTGAACAAACAGCTCAATGATTCGAGTCTTCTTTTCGAAGAACTCTTCTCGTAATCATCGAAAATCGTAGAGTTTCGAAAGTCGTTTACTAAAGTCCATTGAAGAGGACACAATTGTATTAGACCGTTGCATGATGTATTTCACTTCAATTAGTAGTAGAACCATCGGTAATTAAAATATAAAACTTATATCGGAGAAATTGATATGCAAAGAAAAGTTTGTAATACACGTCGTTGGAAATGGTTGATGACAAAGGTTATAATATCTCTATCGATCTGACAATTGTATAAATAATATTGCGAAATGATGTAGAAAATGTCGATTTAAAGCTTGAAGTTTGTCAAATTAAACGTGATTGATATTACGTTAATTTATCATAAAATTTTTATAAAACTTGGAACTTCGATCCAACGAAGTAAAAAGTTGCTCGTGAGACACTGATACTGGTTGCTGCTGCATCAAAAGAACAGACAATCAGTCATTCGTGTGAAAAATTTAAATTAGAAAATACGAGAAAGAAGAAATTTAGGTAAAATTATTTTCATTTTAGAGGAATTTGATCGTTTCAAATGCAACAATTTAACGATACTCTTCTGATAACACAATGAGAGCGAATCGGAGAAAAAGAAGGAATCGCACGCACAAAATTGTTAACATTTTGTTATTATATTAGCTACCTAATTATTATATTATTAGTTTCTTCATATATTAAGAATTTAGATACTAGTTTCATCATTGGTTATCAAAAATGCACAGACAGGCAACTAAGGGCAGTCTCACACTTTTCTAACACAATAAACAAAACCATTCACGAAACCATTGGCAATTTCGACAAAAGCGACATTCAACGCGATCGTCATAAATGAAGAATAATGTTCCAACTACTGTGAAAAATTCTATAAATCCTCCGACTGTGTGTCTTAATAAATCGAACCTTGTACAAATGGGACGAAAACTCCGAAAATAGAAAATGGAGTTGAAACAGAAAGCCTGGTGCGTCGAACCTCGAGGAAATTCACCTACGTAACAAGTCGAGCAGGCGTCAACATTCGGAAGAAAGGATCGCGACAAACGGGATCGGCCGTTGCCTTCGGGCAGCGGATAAGACGCGATGATAAGAGAAAGAGAGAGTAACATGGGTGAAGACGGATCGGGTCGAGGATGGGGTGAGGGGGAGGGGACACTCCGGGGGGTTTCTTAGAATCCTCGTTATTCCAGACGAGCAGAGAGCCGACCGTGGCCGGGGAAAGCCACGAAATATCCGAAGAAAAACACGTTTCCAGAACCGAATCGATAGCAACAATGCCGTGGCAAAAGCACGAGGCCTCGGCTCGTGAGAGGACGAAGGGAGCACCGAGGAAAGGGGAACTCTTTGAGCCGTGTGCTAGAGGGTAGGTAGAGGGAGCCAACGAACAGGGAGAGAGAAAGAGAGAGAGAGAGAGAGGACAAAAAGGGAAAGAGGAAGAGGGAAGCCAGAAGAGCGGTAACAGGGTGGAAAGAGAGAGAGGGTGGAAAGCGTGGTGCGAGGCGGCAGCCTTATTGGAATCGTGGAGAGGGAGGCGAGTTTTCCTAAGGGCAGAGGGAGAGGAAAGGAGGAGACAGGTGGCGAGGAGCCGTGGTAGGTAGCTGGAACAGAGAGAAAAGGGGGACTTAGAGAGAGAGACAAGAGGGGTTGATGGAACGAGGCCGCTACAACGTTGGCAACAGCCAGATGGGAAAAGGCTGCATTACCTATGGTGCCTCCAAGAAACGATCCTTACCTAGAGGGATAGAGGAAGGAAAAGGGAGAGAGAGAGAGAGAGAGAGAGGGAGCGAGAGGAGGAGGAGGAGAAGGAGAGGCAGGTAACTTGCCTCTCTGCCCTTTCCTCCTTTGTTAAAGGGGACTCGATCATTCTATCCTCTTTGTTCGTGATATTAAAGTACGTCAAGGCGCCGCCGATTCGCGACCACCTCCTCACGCCCACGTTTCTCGTTCCATGGCCAGAAGTGTCAATTGCGTTCATTGTTCGTTCATAGAGCGTAGGATCGACGGATCTTTCCACGGGCTTTCCCAGTCCCTCTCTCGGAAAAGATTGCATTGACGGATGAAAGGTAGCGTATCTTCGCGCGAATCACGGCACGCATATCCGAGCTGCGAAAGATCTTTTAATTCTGGATCGCGGACTTGGGACATATACAGGAGACGTAGGAAATTTGCGCGTTTCGCTCGATCGCTTCTAATTAAAGGGCACAATTGAAGAAAATAGAATCTCGATAGAAAATCGAGGAGGAAACTGAGCTACAATCTGTTGAAAAATAAGATTTTTTTTTATTGGTTTCAAGGCTCTCTTTTTTGATGTTTAATTACTCTCTTTTAATTTACATGTACGTGACAAAATAAGAAAAAAAAATACAAAAGTTCTAATGTAAAAGACTTTAATATCGTAGCGCTGAACCTCTCCAATATTTCACGTATGTAATATTGTTGAAAGCAATGTACTTTGGATATTTTATATAACTTGTTGCATTATGTGAATCTTAGCACTTTTAAATTAAAGCCGTAAAACTGGTCTAAGAAAGAAAAGTGGATATAAAATTTTATATTACTTTTGGAAAATTCTAAACGAGACACGGTTTCGTAAAATTAATTACATCTAAATAGGGGAGAGGGGTGGCAGGAATGAAAAAACTGTTCGTTCGGATTTTGTGATTTCATATATTTTCTCATCTTGTTCGTGTGCAATTTAAATATAATAAAATAATAATAATTAATAATTAATTGTAATGATGATAACTGTCACGGTAATAATAATAATAATAATAATGACAATGATAATAATAATAATAATATTAATAATATTAATAATAATAATAATAATAATAATAATAATAATAATAGCAATATTATTCATAATAATACAGCCGCACGCTTTTTTTCTTTTTCTTTCTTTTCTTTTTTTTTTT